AAGTTGTATGGTTGATAGGATTGGTTCAAGAGCTTGGAATTGATCAAAAGAACATTTTGTTCAATGTGACAATCAAAGTGCTATATGTTTTGCAAAGGATCCGGTATACCACACAAGGACTAAGTACATAAATGTGCGGTATCACAAGCTCAGAGATTTTGTAGCAGATGGTGACATTCAAACAAGGTTTATAATATTGATACGCCCGATATGCCCCTGTTTTGTTTTACTTTTTTTATTTTTTTCTAAAACCGATTCAAGGGGCAATTTAGGTCTCCTCCACCCCCTGAACCGATCAGACCCCCAATACACCCATTATAAGAGTGTATCGAGGGGTCCAGAAACGATACATATCAACCGATACAGACTAATACGTATCAATATTTTGAACCTTGCATTTAATTGGAAAAGATTTCTTCCTAAACGAACATAGCAAACATGATGACCAAGCCATTGCCAAAGGAGAGGTTCAGGCATTGCCTGAATCTTTCAAACATACAACGGTGCCAAGTTGTGAAGGCCCCAAGAAGAGGGGGCTATATTCTAGAGAGAGAAATGGAATAGATTGAAGAAGAGAGTTGAATTTTTTTTTTTTAGCCAAGGTGGAAAATGTTGGAATTGACTAAAAAATATTGGAATCAAATCCCAAAAAAATTCAGCTCATAATATGGTTCTCGGGTATTATTCAAGCGTGAATAGTAACCCATAGAAGGAATTTCTGCTTAATTGTTCGGTCCCATTTTTTTATCTTTATATGGTGTTTTATACACCATTGAATCAGGGACGAATCAAGGATCGAGATTAGTTCATGGTTAAAGATTTTTTTTGCAATAAGAACTTTTTTTTGGATATTTATTATTTTCTTTTCAATGGCGACATTATCATGAAGAGCGTGTGGCTATCTTATATCTTTTTCAACAATTAAATGAATCTCTCTCGTGTGTTCTCTTAGGATTTTCTCCGAACTACGTAAATCCTTGCTTCTTCTCTATTTGTTTAATTTCTTTTTTATCTACTTTGGCATTATTTTGTGTTCTCCATTTTTCTTAATGGATTGATTCCGGATACGTGATCCGACACTCCCGCGCCAACAGATCCATATTGTCACTGGAGAATCCCATGAATAATTCAATCTATGGAAATTACAAAAGACAATAAATGATATTTTGCAGATGCACATACCAATACCATGGTGGAGGAAAACAAACCTTCCAAGAAAGTTGGCACTAATGTAGGAAAATAAAATTCCTTATAATTTAAGCCATTTTTGAAACAAGGTTGATATTTTCAGTTTGTTTCCGGCAACATTTATGTGATTTTCAACTTTTCAGGTCTGCTTTCCAATTTAAACAAAGCACCAAGAAAATTATGAGTATGATTCACTTTCTATTAAATATCATTTTTTCAAGATAATACTCCATTCACTCGTATTCTACGTGAAACCAAGGGCAGCCTTAATTTCATGTCATAAATACACTTGCATAATTTTTGTAACTAAAACCTTTCCAAAATCTTATCAAAAGGGAGAAAAACATTTCAACACAACAGTCCAAGTATGTAAAATAGCATAACCCTTTAATCTAACATGAACTAAAGTTATATGAAATATACATGTATAACAGATGAAAAGATCAATAAATTAAAACTATTGCATTATAAATCTTGGTGTCCAGGACAAAGTAAAGCTTGGGTTTAACTGGGTATTCATGCATAAGGGGGAAGCCCCTATAGTCTAACCTCTCTCTCTCTCTCTCTCTCTCTTCTTTTTTTCAAGTGGCTGCTCGTAGACTTGAACCCAAGATTTTACCCTTACACCAAGCAATGGCCCCTAATATAGTTAATGGAACAATTAATCAAAACCAGAGGAGTCAGTAGCACTTGGTATATATTTTAATGAAATTAACAAATCCTTGGAAATATGCATGCTCAAGTAAGATGGATACGTAGGGAACTGAACTCCGCGCAGATGGCATAGCTATATCTGTAAGGAATCCTTTCAAGACTATGTTAGAAGAGATCTATCCATATGGTGCATTTTGCATCCTCACGTTAACATTTTGCTTTTTAAGATATAAATACCATTTCTCTTTCTTAACAAAGAAAAAAATGATAGATCAACTAAGGCCAACAAGTTGTGAATGTAAATGATGCAGTTGAAAATCTCTCGACGTATATCAATTATCAAAATTAAATTCCTATACTCGTCACTTACAGCCCCTCCCCCACATTGACAGACTTGGTAACCTTTTTCTTTTTCTATTGGTAAAAACAGACTTGGCAACTTAACATCATATTTCCAGAGCACCAGAAGCCAATATCCTAAAAACTAGAAGTAAAATTTATATTTCATATAATAATCTACATGGATGAGAAGGCTCCTTGAAAGGGAAGCCCAATGCACAAGGCTACTGCCAATGTGGGGTCCGGGGTAGGAGTGGGACAGATATCTGCATCTTTACTCCAGCACATACGAGACTGTTTCCAAGATTTGAACCCTGGTCACCCAGGTCACAATGAAGAAACCCAACCATTGCGCCAAGGCCCATCCTCCCCATGAGAAGGCTCCTAGGTGCCTAAAAAATAAAGTACCTTCAGAAACCCAGAAATTTCAGTTTTAGGCCATACTCACAAGGATAGTGCAAAACATATTTAACCAAAATTCCTGTTGAAATGAATTTACATTGCAATCTTCATGTAGTCCAAAGCATCCACAAAATGTTTAACTTGTAGCAAGTCCCCTTGAAAACAATTATGTTTGCACAAGTTTCTTTTCTATGTTCCATTTTATTCAATCTAAATAGCAAATGCTAATGTTTTAGATAAAACGCAAACACAACAACTTTTTTTTTTTTTTYTTTTTTTTTTKKGGGGGGGGGAGATAGGTAAACACAGATAGAGTACAACAAGCCCCCCAAGGAGAACACCTTCGATGAGCACAACCAACAACAGAACTACAAAGTACAAACTACAGCTCCCACAGACTCCCAGACCTCAACCAAATACATTTCCCCTTTGCAGCCGAAACCAGACTACAGGATGGCTAGGTATTGCTTTTTCCACCTACAGCCTTCTTTTGGTGCTTGCCCACCAACAACCAAATACATTTCCCACTAAAAAGGTTTGGTCCTGAAAGGTTCCTCCCAGGTGAATTTGTTCATGTTGGAGGCAGCATGCAGCAACACAAATACACATAACATGCTAAAGCAATTGATAAAAATAAAAAATAAACTAAAGCAAAGAAGGAAGGTGTACAAGCACTTTCCTGCATCGGGTCTATAATTTTTCCTTATTGAGGAATCAATAAGCCACTTAAATATACATCTTTTTCTCATAACATATAGAAATTATTCTTGGATTTGATGTGTTTGATTGGACCCAAGGAGACATGAGAATTATTTATTGGGGGTAGTTCATGCTGAAGTGGTGGCAGCCATGAAAGAAATTATATAAAAACAAATCTCAAAATAAGTGCACTCCTCTGTGATCCATGCATAAGAAAGTCTTATCTATATAACTTATTTGGTGGTAGTCGAAAAAGAAGTCCAATGTTTTAACTTTTAACAAAGATAGAATTTGCTTGAATTTCCTGGAAATCCCACAGGTTTGTTATGAAACTTTCAAGTAGAAGTTGCTTGAGGATAGCTCTTTCAGTGAATCATAGCCCTTGGTAATAGGTGTTTTTATTTCAGACAGGGTAATAAAGCATAATTTGGTTTGCAGGGTCTCATGAGAGAGGTCAATTTCACCAAAAGTGATTACAGTTTTATTTGCCAGCTTCACTACTAATTGAAGGGGATTCAACCAGTAGCATTGGATGGAGGCATAGTGTTTGAGGGAGTATACTAGATGCTATGTGAGTGAAATAAGGCACATTAGGGTTTGTGGAACTGTGACTTGAGATGGATACCAAGGGAGAGCAGATGATTTTAAGCAAAAACCAGGGTTAAAAAGGATTGGATATATGGAGAAGCCCCATTTTATACAATCTTTTTATCATTATCTCATCACAGTGGCTCTGACTAGTTGGTCGTTTTAACATGGAAGTGATGTTTGAAGCAGTGTTTTAAAAGGCATGGGAGGCGTACGCCTGGAGGCGCGCTTCCAGGCGAGGCGCCCCCAAAACGGCCTGAGGCGCAGGCTAGAGGCATTGGCACCTCTGAGGCATACGCCTCAGGTGCAAGAGGCGTACGCCTCATGTGCCTCATGCACCTCATATAAAAAGACGAAAGAGGAAAGAAAAAAGAAAAAAGGAAAGGGAAAAGAAGAATAGATAAGGGCAAAGAAAGTGGGCTGGGGGCCGGCTTACGCCTTTCAACTAGTGTTATTCATCTTCATTCTTTTTAATATAAAAGATTTTTATTAAAAATAAAGAAAAATGAGACCCTCCTTCCTTTTCTTCCTCTTGCCCTTCCTCCTCATCCGCCTCGTCTTAAGGAGGTGTAGGCTTACACCTCCTTGTGTTGGGGAGGCTTACGCCTTTYACTACCTAGAGGCTTACTACCTCTAGGTAGTGGAATGCTTGCGCCACGCCTCTGCATTTTAAAACATTGGTTTGAAGAGGGAATGATTGGTTATATTTAAGCTCTTAGTTAATGCTCAAAGTTTTTTCACATCCTCAAGTTTCCTGTATGATTTCACATGTTTCTAAGGCATAGTATTCCACTGACAGATAAGAAAACCAGTTAGCTCAATAGCATATGTTTTATGCAAGAAAAATGCAAACCATTTCCGGCTTCCAGAAGCTCATATGCTGAAAACATACCATAGAGGTGACCATATCTCCAATTCTACACTAGGTTGTCAGCTTTATACGAGGTACAATGTAACTTTACAAGTTACAACTGCCAAACAATTTTTAGTATTAAGCAAGTATTGCTCACCCATTCGCAGCAGCTAATAGACAGTAGACAAAAACTGCTATGAATCACAAGGCATTGCTTTCTGAGTTGAAAGTTGAAACAATTTAGCCCTTCATCAAGCAAAAGAATAGTACAAGAATGTAAGATCAAAAGATAAACTCCTTGGTCATATTGAACAAATAACTGTAAGTTTCCAAACTAAAAAGAACTAATTAATAGACTACAAGAATTCATCTACCAGAGATTCTACAGAGTAAATCTAGGCATCTGTGATCCTACCTCCTTTCTGTTACAGCTCTATCCAATAGGGTTGAATCTCCACATCAGCACAGCTAAAATAACATTTCCACAAAACAGAACAGATTGTAACTGCTACAGGGCCCAGACTCAAACAAGCAATAAAAAACAGAAGCAAGGGATAGAAATTTCTCAAGACCCTTGCACTAGTATACGTTACAGCACAGCTCCAATCTACTAGGAGCTGAGTCAACAATATTCAGAAGAACGACAGTGAATGCCATTAGGCATGTTACTTTTTCACTAGCTGACAGACATGTGTTCATGGAAGACTATAGATTCCTCCATCTAGGACTTGAAATAGGGAAGAATCCCGAAGGAGAAGGTGGGAAAAAACCCGGGGAAAGTGGGGGTTGTGGCCCAGGACCCAAAATCCCTGATTGAGCAAGTGGTGAGAAAGAGAAGTTGGGTGAGATAGGGTACTGAAACCCAGGGTAAGGCAAAGGATAGGGGGAGCGAGGGGACAAAAGATTCAAGAATGAGCTTGGAGATGGCAAGGGAAATGGAGAAGTTGGAGAAGGCAAAAGGGCAGGACCATTTGCCCGTGGCGAAGGGAACGCAGGTGGCGGAGGGGTAGGAAGTAAGCCTGATGAGAATGCCTGAGCTTGACCTTGTGCTTGAACCGGAGCTTGAACTTGAGGTTGGGGCGCAGCACGAGGTTGGACTGGGCTTTGTCTTGGACCCGAATCAATGATAGAATTCTGAAGGTACCGCATGTAAGCCGAGATTGGAGACTCCGCCGTGTTGGACCAAATCGAGTCGCCAGGAGTAAACGGTGGTGGTGTCGGCATAGGTAAGGGCGATGCCAACGGTTGACCAAGCTGACCGGGTCTGACAAAATTGTTGTTGAAAGGGGGAGGAGGAGCCGGTGCAGGAGGAGGGATCTGGGGTCGGTTAATTGGCGTCAATGGAGGTGGACGGATCTTCTGCAAACGCATACTCGGGGGTTTTGGCGGATTCTGTGGGGGGCGAGGCAAAGGGTCTTGAGAGGGTGAACCCGTCAACTGCTGAACAATACTCCGGAAATCATTCTTGCTGATATTGTAAACCTGTGGCTGAGGTTGTTGCTTAGGGTTTGCAAAATTCGGTTGGTGCATAGGGCTCTTCTTAATGTTCTTCCCCAGCTTGTTCACCCCCAGATGTTCAGTATGCCTACTCTTGGAAAAATTTGAGTTATCCATCTCCACAACAATCCAATCGCCAGTACCACTCAATCCTTCTCCCCAACACACAAAACTCAAACTTTTGGGCACTAAATGGAAACCAAGCTCAAACCATTCAAAGGCCTCCAATCAAACCGTCAAAGTTCACAAACCCAAAGCTCAAACAACGAAAGTCTTACTAGAAAACCAACTAAACCAGGAGGTTTTCAAATCCAGGCAGACAACAAAGTCAATCTCCAAAAAAGAGATCATTCCAGGCAGAAATCATACCGTATTCTCTGTTCCGTCTCCTCCAAACCCTAAACCAGATTACCTCTCAAATTTGTCAAAACCCGAAGCCCAAATCCATAAATGATCCGCCAGAATTCATCGTCAGGTTCTTCTCCACCGGAATATAAAAAAAAAAGTAGAAAATTCAAAATAGATCCGAGCAAATCCGACGAACCTCGAAGATCTTTTCTACGACGAAACCGACCACGAAATCCCCGGAAGAGAAGAAAAAGAAAATAGGAACGAAAACAAAACCCTAGAATTTTCTCTCGTTTCACACAACGAAGAACTATCGAAGTAAAAAAGGAGTAAACGCGGGGAAGGAGACATCCCGTCTTGACTTTGTGCCAGTGTGACCTGCTGAACGGGTTAGAGATGGACACGAGCAGGTCTCAGAAGCCCTAGCTTCAGCAGCAGACAAGTGTTTGCGTAGACAGCTGTCCACCTCAACTCTTAGTCTGACAGACTCGATAGTTAGGTGATGAGTGCCGCCGATTTGCAAAGCTCTTACGTTTCATTTCCCGGTCTCCACCGGCTTACGATAGTTACGGTGTCGAAATCCTCTACGTGAACCGAACAATACTGTGGTCTGTGCCAATCATGATACGCCACGTAATCCCAGCTAGGAATATAGAGCTTGACCTCCATATGTTTCATGATTACGAGTTGAACAATAAAAGATAGAATGCCATGGCTATTGGTTACGGCCCAATGAATCTGCTTAATTCCAAAAATAGTCTAATTGCTTAGTTTAATGAAATTAGTTAATTTTGTAATAAATTAATTATTAATTACTTATCGGCTATCAAAAAATTTATTAATTACTTATCAACGAAATAATTATTAATTAGATAGAGAGAGTGAAATATAAAGAATTATAAACAAGGAATAGACAACCGCGGCCGAAATCCTGAGGAAAACGACAAAAAACAAAAGTGTATTTAGTGGATTCCACTTGACTATGAATGCCCAATCGGTTGCGGGCACGTGGCTGCCGTGGTGAAATGTGACACTAGTATTTACGATTCGTCTACGAGATCGGATTCAGTCATCCCAAGATCGAGATCGCATCTGCGCCCCACAAACGCATCATATGCATATCTCACTATGCTTTGAAAACATCTTTGAAAATTATCAGTGGAAGTCTGGAAGATGATCCGAATAGACAGTTGGGATATGCTTTGGGGCGTTAGTGAGGCGCAGATGTGAATTGCCAAGACCGTACTCACACCGTACTGAATCCGAATTCTTCGCCTACATGGCGTGGCAAAACTGATTACGGTAAGATGACACTGTGCCTAACAAATTGACGTCGTAAGATTTGCACCTTTCTTCATTCCACCCTCTCACGAACTCCTCTACAGCTTTACTCGTAATAGCTGAGTCATCATGATTCATGCATGATACACGACACCGGATCTGCTCCTCACTCAGGGCACCTCATTCGCACCTTACATGCACATCGTATCATGCATTGGAAACATCTTCCGTACTTATAAGTTATTATTGGTAGAAGATATTTTCAATGCACGATGGGTGTGCATGTGAGATGCCCCTGTGTGAGGAGCAGATCCCGTTCTATGATACACACTGTCAGTTCTGAACACGTAGATGTTTCACATAAGGGGCATTCTTTTCTGGATTTGGAGAGGGAGAAAAGTTGGTCAATGAGATTTTGGTTCCCATTGACCAAGAATCTCATGTTCATTTTCCAGATTAATGTGGTGACTATGGAAAGTTTATTTTCTTAGGTATCACTTACCTAGAAAAGTGATACCCATCTCCTAGGTGGGTAAATAACTTTCCCACATAGGGGGAAAGTTGCCAACACTTCAATGGGACAAAAATGCCCCTTTTAATAATGAATTTCTCTGTCTAAAATGGTCATAGCCTTATTTCCCTGAGAAATAAAAGAACATGGGTAAATGCACTTATCTATGTAAGTGTTTTCCAAGAAAAATTTACCCAAGTAATTRCATTTTTCCGAGTAAGTAACTTACCGAAAAACAAACAAGGCCATAAARTCATTAAATCTGCAAAGGATTCAAACTGACATCGAAAATTTTGGATTAGGTCAAGGAAAAGGCATTGGTCAAAAGGATCCAACTAGTTATAATCAAATCAAGTTAGATATGAAAAGGCGATCTATTTATTAATTGGATCAAATCCAATCCAATCTGAATACTATTTCTGGCTTCCTCAATATATTCATCTTCGAGTTTGAATAAGTTGCACATTTTTTCCTACACTTTTACATTTAGCAATCAATGTGTGGCATAGTATGTCTTCCTACACAGTCATGATACGCGATTTAAGCAAATGAATCTGGCAAAAGGGCTTCTTCTAATACATGATTTGCTTCCACTCTAGCACTCAAGAGGGTGCTTGAGACCCACGCATTTGGTGCCACATCAGAAAAAAAAGGGTAAATAAATCACGTTTTGGTGGTTTGTTTCTTAAAAAAAAAAACAAAAGATGTTCTTGCAATAATTAACTTGGGGATCCGGGAAAGGAAGGGTTTCTTAAAATGTCAAATTGAAGTTTCTTGAATCGCTAAGGTGTTGTGGCATATTAAAATTTGAAAAAGCTGACTTCTTTCTAAGATGTCATACAACTGTCACTATAAAAATATTATAATAATATGCCAAATGACTTTAAACACCCCATCACTCTACATCCCGATTTTTTTTTTTTGTGTTTTACAAAAAAACAGGTGAAATGAAAACACCTATGAATCAGGGCCCATTTGTGAAATAGAACGCTTGTAAAATGCTTTGATGCTAAACGTCCCCCAAATTGTACAGTTTGCAAATTCACATTGGGTTGCATTTGGATATAAGTTTCAGGATTTGTTCTTAACCCTCCCCCCCCCCAAAAAAAAATAAATAAATAAATAAAAGCAAAAAACCTCATTTGAGCATTTTAAGTCTTAAGGTTGCGTTTGGGAAGAGTGCAAATAGAGTGTTAATGCAAATATATAGAGTGTATTCTGATCCATACAAATGCAAAGTTGGTTTAGTTTTGTATTGATAAATTTACTTTCTTACCAAATGAGTTTTAGTTGTAATGGATGCAAACACAAATCCCGATGTTAAAATATACCTTTTTATCATTGATCACTTTGAGTGCAAATGTTTACATTTTTTTCGAWGTAAAATTACCTCTCATTCTGGGTGTAAATATGCCTTGAAAATTGTGTTTTCTGTCATTGCCAATGTATAAATGCATTCTTACCAAACACTAGTAAAAGTAAACTAGAGTACATATTTGTAYTGAATCAACATTTGCATTCTTCCCAAATATAGCCTAAAAGTATTTTGGGTTTAGATTATCATATTTTTAAAAGCAATTCTAATCAAACTTTTTTTTTCCTATGAAACCAATAAGTGTTATGATCTCACAAAACGATGAGTCCCAAAATAGGCTTCAGTTCCACAAACAAAACTCTACCAAGATTTGTTGCAGCAATGAAAATTGCCACGAGCTCTAGCATCAGAAATGGAGTTGTTGGTTACATAAGGAAGAAAGACAACAAACTCAACTCTGATTTAGGGTTTGTTTGGGAAGCATTTGTTCTAGGGCTTGGCTTGGCTTTGTTACTTTTGAGAATAAGATTAATGAAGAAATAATGACGGGAAATGATGCATTTATCCTTCATTGAATTGAAGGAGAGTAGGATTCGTTTACCAACTATCTTATTCACTGGTTTGTTTGTAGGGAGAAGACCAATGTGGTTCATTTCCCATGTGATATTGACTATATATGGAGTGATATTGGTCACTAGAGAGAGGATCCCACTTCCTTTCAAATCTTGAGCTAGGGATAAAGTATTGGGATCAGGTTAAACCCCAAAATTTTAAGATCGAATTCAATCTTTATAAAATAATGCTCACACAATACTCACAACCACTTGTWGCTATGCATTGGGAATATCTTTTCATAATAAAAATATACAAGTACGAAGATATTCTCAATACATAGTTGTAAGTGGCTGTGAGGATAGTGTGAACACCTTTTTATGAGGACTAAATACGAGTTCCAAAATTTATGAGTTCAAACCAAAAATCTAGATTCTAGGATCAAGTTTAGAAATTTTTGGGCTGACACTAAAGCATTAGGCCCAAGCCAAATAAAAAAAAATCGGACTAAACACAAAATCTAGAAACAAATTTGAAAATTTCTAGTCAGGCCAGGCTGGGCTACAAATGATTTTACATCATGGAGATCTTGAGCAAATATGACATTTTCTACACCAACAATCAATCAATCAATTAAAAAATACAATGTTCAGTGTGTTTTATAAAACAAGTTTTTAGGGTTTTAGAAATAAAGGTTATTTACTCATACATTCTTATAGTTTTATGTATTTACTAAATAACTTAACCTATAATGTTTGTATTACTAAAACACCTCTATAATGTGCAACCTCTTTACTTAATTAACCTCTCATCAAGAGACACATGACCAAATAACCTATTTAAATGAGTAGTAAATGTGAATGGGCATTGGCTAAAGGTTTTTATTCTAAACATACCCCTATAAACTTTCATATAAAATATATCAACACTTTTTCATATAAAAAACATCATTTACTACTCCTATCTAATAAAAATAGCAATAAGTGGTTGCAAACTGTAGGGTGTCATAGCAACACACAAGCTATAAGATAAGCTTTAGTAAATACATGAAACCATATGGCAATACTTATTCTTACCCAGTCATGAGAGGAGATAAACTCGACCAAATGCATTTTTTAAGTTAATTTTAGGGTTTAGGGGTTTAAGGTTTAAAATTTAGGGTGGCATTTGAACACTTTTGTTTATTAATTTATAATATATATATATATATAATATACATAAATATATAGAAATATGTGTATATTGGTTGGTTTGGTAAAACAAAACCGAACTGGTACCTTCAATTTTTTAAAAATACCAAACCAGAATTTTCAATTTGGTCTCATTGGTTTGGTTCGATTTTTCTTGCTCACCCCTATATTTGACACAACACATGAACATTACTCGAATGTTATAAGAAATTAATGGATTTGGGTTTATCTTAATTGTGTCAGTGTAAAAATCATGTAGACTTATTTAACACCATTAATAAATGTGTCAATTTTGAGTTGATTCACTTAACTCAAAATAACCTATTTATTACTTGAAGTTGTATCCGATCATCTATGCGTATTTTTGAATGAAATGTAATTATAGTAGGTAATGATGACATTGAATGATTTTTATGAATTTGTTTAGATAATAGATGAACGGATGTTTAATTTATTATTTAAATATATTAATTATTTAGTAGGTGTTTT